ATTTACACACATAAGTTCTTTTACAATGAAAATACAATACAATTCTATAAAACTTTAACATTACTTGTTTACAACAAAAAGCCACGCCTGAGTTATTCAGTGGTTTTTACACAATTAGCCATTTTGTGTTGGTTATAGCAACTACAACTTCTTTTATACAAACAAATGTAATTACTGCGAAACAATTCACAAAACATAGCTTAATATTCAAAATACATATTTTAGTGATTTTACATGACTCACATTTAATTTATTTTACATGAATTACTTTTAAGTAATATTAACTAACATTGTTATTATCCAGCCTAATAATAGATGGCGCCAACAACATCATTGCATAACAATTACAATACTTAATTAAATTATTAGTACTGTTAATTATAATATAAATTATTATTAATATTTATGCTTTATTCATATTTAATCATTTATACAGTCATTTGTGTTTTTAAACAATAATATAAACATTAAACATATTCTGAACATTTTCACATCAAAACAGTATCTGCTAATTATTAAATATGGTAGAATAACAGTTTTGTTGCTAATAATAAATAAATATTAACATAGAATAAACTAAACTATATATTATTATGTTAATTATTGCCAACAGTGGCGTTTGCGCCCATATATACTTAGGTCTTGCGAAGACAACGAGAGGCACTCCTACCATAAAATCATTTAATTATTTTATTGTTGCATATTATAATGTTGGAGTGATAGTCTGGGTTTCTTATAATAAAGACGCAGATTTTCATGGATAGTTCTTATTCTAACGGACATACACCTTTTTGTGTCAGTACTCATTGACGGCGCAAGAAGAAAAAGGGGCGAGCACACGAATGACGTTGACACATATTAGAGGAGTGACAGCTGTCAGTTGGTAATAACTTCCCGATCCTGCGGAAAGAAAGGAAAGCAGTCGACGTCGCCCCAAACACGTTATTCTGGATCCTCCCGATCCACTAACGGTGCTTTTAGGTACCTCAAGCACCATCATCGTTCTCGTCGAACCCGTCGCTTGTGACGAAGGGCTCGACGAGTAAATTAACCCTCGGACACCGCCCACTGAGTTTCTCGCCGGATCTTCTCAGTGGGTCGCGTTTCCGATCCGGTGGTAGATTTTGAGAAGCACGGCTCTTGCTAGGGTTCGTGTTAGCAACGTCGTCAGGTTTGAGCCCCGTGAGCTTACCTACTAGTTAAGGTTACGCTGAAATAGCCTCTTCAAGGCCCTCAGCTGAGGTAGGAAAAAAAAATTGTATTAAATTAACATAAGATGCGTTTAGGAATTATACAATTCTAACATGTAATGATGACATCATTTATGTGGTGTGTATGCAGGCGAAGATAGCGTGTACGGCGATGTGTAAGTGCGTGGGGTGTCGCAACGTGCAGGAGTTGGTGGAGCGGCGCCGCGACATGCGCCTCCGCACGCAGGACAGCGACTCGACCTTCCGCCCGGCCCTGCTGGGGCAGCCCAAGTCAGTATTCAATAGGCGAGGCACGCTAGCAACCATTTTAAGGAATATTTAACACCCCACTAACGTTTGAAGTGAAACTTCTAAAGCGACTTCCGACAACGACTACCATGGAATAGAAAGAGATAGAGCGAGAGGTATAAAAAATAAATAAATTTTATCTATAGTTTAAAATATATATAATATAAATGTTGAAGATGTGGCATTTCTTATACACATCATTCCCTATTACAAGAGCAATCTGATTTAAGGATGAAAAATGAAGAAAACCACAATACAACACACCGAAAAAGAAGTTTCACTTCATTCACGTGTACCAAGTTGCACGCGCCCCGTTTTATTTTGCGTGTACTTCACACCAGTGACAGTCACAATGGAGCTTTGCCTGCTTTGCTTTGATCAGTAGAGTTCTGGTAAACATTCGTTTTGTATTCACAAGATAACAACTTACCCTTAACATTTGTTTCCTTGTCGAGATTGTTAGTGTTGAAACTAATGTGGCTTGCAGAAATCCGTGCACGTTCATGACGATGGAGGTGATCGAGGCCGTGTGCCAGTGCCTGGTGGCCGCCGCCGTGGAGCGACGGGACGACTCTCCGCGTGACGCGTCCCGTGACTCGCCGCGTGACGCGCCCCGTGACGCGCTCGGAGACGTGCTCGAAGAGTTCGCGCGCTGTCTGCACGAGATCATCGGGGCTTCGCATCACGACTCCTTGCTGCTCGATGTGGTGAGTGCCAAGTGACGCGGTCGTGACCGGAACATATACACTGTATAACTGGCAGAGGCGGATTATCCGTAAGGCAAATTAGGCACGTGCCTAGGGGCGTGTGGTCACAAGGGGAGCGCGAGCTCAGAATTTTTAAATAAATAAAGAAAATAACATATTGACGATTAAGAACTAAATGCTGATCTATAATCTAAATCTATAATAAATAAATTATATTGCACAAGCAGCGATATACTCGTATTTATACAATATTGCGGGTTTGTTTGTATTTCATTCGCGCATTAGCGTAAGTACAAGGGTCCTGGTCTACTAAAGTCTAGGGTTTGATGATACAACGTCATCGTAATTGCAAAAACAACTAGTTAAAACTTATAGTATTATAATAGCCATTTATGGCCGGTACAGTGGTGCCGATAAAGTGATTACCGCGCGCGATTAGGGCGCTCTGGACTTTTAACTAGCCACTGATAACTGGTAGCTCCAGTAAATTAAGAAATTTCTTTGAGGTTTGTGAGCCTTTGAAACGATAGCTCACAATTATTATTATTATGTGTTATTAATCATTACAATAATTATTCACTTAAAAAAAATTCCAGTCTACAAAAGTTATCCCTTTAGATATAGGGAGAAAGGAATCCTTCCTTAAACCGATATTAAAATAATAGATTACATAAACAAAAACATATTATTTTAATACATATCGATTTTATCACAGGGACAAACGTGACAGATTTGAAATTTGCCAGCGCTGAAGATGAAAACATCTCTAAAACCCCACAAAACCTTAGGTTAACTTTACTCAAATAACGTACTGTCATCCTACGGCTAATATATTTTGTTCAACCAGCCATTCTATTTATAAGAAAAATCAATTTGCTTGCTAACATTTAGTTAACCAGTTAGATATGACGTACCAAATATACGTCTTGACATTATTAAAGAAATTAAATGTAAATATTTTAATCTGACGAATACAGTAGTTTAATTTGGAATAAATAGAACCTTTTTACATGTAAACATTATATGAATAACATAAATGCAATATTAAATATAAAGTTTAGGTGTAGTGTAATTGCTTCCAAAAGACTGTTATAAATAAATACTTGACAAGTTTCGTAAACGTAGTTAATTGTGAATATTTGTATCTACTTTTTGAAAATGGATTCTTTTATAAATCAATTTAAGAGATTTTTATTGTTGTTTTTAAATGTAAATAATGTTGCTGTAAATAATATGTTTTACTAGTCTTAAGGATACCTTAGGAGGAAGGTAATTATAGTGTATAGTGGCGATAAATGGATTTTTACAGAAAATTTATTTTGTTTTATTTCATTTTTAGTTCGTAACAATGGTAACTTTACAATGATCCAGTTACTTAGATTTAGCGGGCGAAATGTTTTGGGTTAAAAATAGCACCGCTATAAATAAGGCGGACGGTAACTACACGTGGAACGTAACACTGCGTTCGCACGTTCTGAGTTATTGTAGGTCATTTCACCTAACGTTCATAATAAAGCGCTTTGTGGTGTCAAACAGTTCAAAATGACCAACAAATATGAAGTTCGGCATTCAGAGCAACTGGGCAGGTCGGTTGCATTCAAATATTTTTGGTATTCAAGTGATGTTTTTTTTTTAATCTCCAATATATTGTGTCAATTTTGATCCTTTTAGTGTTGAGTTTATTGTCACATCCTTTGCATAAATTGCTAAAGGATTTTTGAACATTACAAAAAAAAATTATGCTAAATTCACAGCAAAATAATTTAAAATTTATTTATAAATGTTAAGTTATTCAGTGTGCTCAGTCGTGTGCAATTAGAGTGACCTATCTCCAGTAGTGGACTGCTATGGTCTGATAATGATTATGATGATGATGAACTCATTAAAAACGTATATGCGTGCGCTAAGATACGTCCGTACAGGTCGATACCTAATACATATAATCAAACCGCAAAGTCGGTATTCCGACGCTTTGTCCTTTGTACGCATTTATAGAGAGTCGATATATCGACGGTTCGCGCTCAAGGGTTAAATTGGTTAAAACGCGTTCTGTGGAACTTAAGCCAAGTTTTATTTCGAATGTTCGAATTCAGTACACATTCATATTTTTAGATACTTAATAGCTGCTAAAGCTTTGAAAGCCGGAGAGACGATCCTCTCGGAGGCACCGTTTGTGGTCGGACCCAACGCAGACACATCTCTGGTATGTTTCGATTGCTACTGTCCACTCATCAGCAAGTTTAATGTATGCAAGAACTGTGCCCTTGTGCCTATTTGTCCCGGAGACGGATGTCCTGAAGCTTTTTCAAAAAGTGAGTGTCTAACTATAAGCATATCTTATAACGTTAGAACGAAAAATGCAGGTATGTATCATCTATACTAATATATAATTCTACAGTGGTTTTTACGGATGTTCCGTTATAACTACTGAACCGTGCATCCGAATGACTTGAAACTTGTTATCCATGTAGAAAATACATGTACTTAATGGATAGGCTAATATTTATATGAGTGTTGGACTCCCTACACCAGTTGCGGGGGCGTTAATGATGAGAATCTTTGTGGGGGTGAGAAATAATAATGTTAATTTTAAATGCCCAACGAAGCGGACAGGGTACAGCTAGTGTCTTAAGAAAAGTTCTTGTAAGAATCATTGCGTGTGTCATCGTGGCTTAAATGATAAGACGTCCGATGTACTCGTATCGAGCGATGCGACTGTGCCGGTGTTAAAATACCGCAGTCAGATATCGATTTTTCTAATGAAATACCAACATCAAGTTGACAATAAATGAATGTTATCGTGTAAGAAAATCAATCCTGCAAATCTATTAATTTGCATAATTAATAAACAATTGGAACCTTGTGTCTCAAGTGATAGCCTCCGGTAATCCAATTTGAGACATGACTTCTAGGTTTTTTTACAGTACAACGGCTGTCGTACTCTTCAAACCGAAACGCATAACTGCTTCACGGTCTCCCGTGTCTATAGGTAGAGTGATCATAAAGAGCTTACTCTTAGTATAAACGATATATTACGATATATTGATTAAACTAGCAAAATGCAAACGATACTCATTTGTTTTTTTTTCTACCTTAGTTTGTAACCTAGGTGTTATGCCAGCGTAACCGGGTAAGAGTTTAACGGTGCTACGACATATCGTGAGCCTGTACGGGTGGGTTCCTTTGATATGTCTATGTGGCGAAGCGTTCATGCCTTCGGGTTTGAAGTGTGGGAAAGGCGTTAAGTGATAGTTCTTACTGAAAAATGGAACCTTCTGTGGTGGTGTGTGGGCTGCGACAATGACGTTGCAATTGAAATCATAGTTTAGGTGCTAATTTCAATTTGAATGTTTATTTTTTAGAATGGCATAACAGTTTCGAATGTGAACAGCTTAAGCAATTAAAATTGACGGCCGGCCTCAATCCTATGACAATGGTGCGAAACGTTGGATCGTTACTAGTCTTGAGGACGATTTTAAAGAGAAATATCGAAGACGATGCTTGGAATGAATTCATGCAGCTTGAAACGCATCTAGAAGCGAGACGAGGTACAGACTTGTGGGACTTTTACGAAAATACTGTGAAGGTAATAATAACTGAATGAGATCCGTGTGTTTAGTGCGAGTTTTTTAACGTTATCGCCACTTCGATAAAGCGGCACGACACGAGAACCCTCTCATCGTGGCCGCCGGTAACTACATTCCCGATCCTGCGGACAGAATGGAAAGCAGTCGACGTCGCCCAAAACATGTCATCTCGGATCCTCCCGATCCACTAACGGTGCTTCTAGGTACTTAAAGTACCGGTCGCCGTTCTCGCCGAACCCGTCGCTTGCGACGAAGGGCTCGACGAGTAAATTAACTCTCAGACACAGCCCACTGAGTTTTTCGCCGGATCTTCTCAGTGGGTCGCGTTTCCGATCCGGTGGTAGATTCTGCGAAGCACGACCTTGCTAGGGTTCGTGTTAGCATCGTCGTCAGGTTTGAGCCCCGCGAGCTCACCTACTAGTTACGGTTACGCTGAAATAGCCTCTCTAAGCTACCAGATTAGGTAAGAATAAAAAAAAAAAAAATTAACGTTCTCGATAACATAAAAGCTAACCCAATTTTGTATGCAATTGGAACAGCACCCCTAGCGGCAAACGTACGCAAACGATCCCATTCCATACAAATATGAGCTGACTTTAACGCTATCGGGAACGTTAAAAAATCGCACTAAGCACATTGAACTTCTCGAAACCCATCAAGATAATTTTTGACATTAACGGGAGAATATGTTTTCGTTTTCTTTTTTTTTCTGTCAGTTCATCCAATCCCTCGGCCTTCTAGAATGTGAAAATGATAAAAATTTAGTTCAAAAAATATGCGCAGCGATAGACGTGAACAGTTTTGAAGTGCGAGGGCCGTCGGTTCCTGGAATTGGCTGTGGCGAGACGTTACGAGGCGTGTACCTGCAGGCGGCTTTGCTCGCTCACGATTGTGTGGGTAACACGCACATGAGCATCGGTGATAATAACTTACTAGTGTGCCATGCGAGCGTCGATATTAACATAGGCGACATTATATATTACAATTACACGGACGCGTTAAAGGTTTGTAATTAAATAAGATATTTGTTAACCGATTTTTGTTTATTGCTTAGATGAGTGGATGAGCTCACAGCCCACCTGACGTTAAGTGGTCACCGAAACCCATAGACATACGCAACGTAAATGCGTGAGTTCTAAGGTCTCCGATTTTGCAGTACAACGGCTGCCCCACCCTTCAAATCGAAACTTATTACTGCATCACGGCAGAAATAAGCAGGGCGGTGGTACCTACCCGTGCGGACTTACAAGAGGTCCTACCACCAGTAAAAACGTACGTACGTATAGTCAGACTTACGATTTTAAATACAGGGTACTGATGTTAGACAACAACATTTATTGATCGGCAAGTACTTCAAGTGTACGTGCAGTCGTTGCATGGACATCACAGAAGTAGGAACGTATATGAGTTCTGCTATGTGTCCTGAATGTAAATTCGGTTATGTCTCAAGAACGAGCCTCAAAGAATGGACCTGCAAGGACTGCGGAAAGGAATTTAAGCATTCTGACGTCGAACGCAAAGTCGCATGTTGCACAGCAAAGTTACAAACTATAAGTGAGTTTGGTTGTTTTTTTTTTATCTATTGCTTAGATAGGTGGTGGAGCTCACGGCCCACCTGGTGTGAAGTGTTACCGGAGCCCATAGACATCTACAACGTAAATGCGCCACCCACCTTGAGATATGAGTTCCAAAGTCACAGTATAGTTACAACGGCTGCCCCACCCTTCAAACCGAAACGCATTACTGCTTCACGGCAGAAATAGGCAGGGTGGTGGTATCTATCCGTGCGGACTTACAACACGTCCTACCACCAGTTGTCTTGAGAAATAACTATGAATATCTAAATTATTCTAATTATGTACCTAAGTAATGTATAATGTTGTTGTGAGTCTAAAATAAATTGTAATTTACAGATAAAAATGACGAAAGAGAATTGGAAGAATATATAAGAAATGTATCATTAGTTTTGGCTCCAAATCATTATTTGCTGTTAGATGCAAAACAACGCTTAGCTGGGCTTTTAAGGGACATCATTAATAGAGAGCCTCGTCCTACTAAAAAGTTAATAAGACGAAAACTTGGATTGTGCGAGGAAATGTTACCAGTGCTGGAAAAACTTTGTCCTGGTATATCAAGGATCAAAGGTATGAGAATACTATTATATGAAAGTCAATAACAAATTCTCGTTTGCTATCTTTAATATAAGTAAATTTAAGTTCTGTTTGGTTCAGACAGTTTTTGTTATTGTGTTCGCAGTACACATGCTACCAGATAATTATACGAACCTTTAGCGTTAATTTGATCTAGTATAATAAACTATAAAGAACAATAAAACCATAGATCGTGAACGCATAAAAAGCTACAATCTAATCCCATCTCAGCCATAAAAAAAGCTAATGAGATATTTGAGATCAATCTTAAAATAACATTTTGTGGATTGTATTGTAATAATAGGTAATTGTAATTGTAATAATAGGTTTTTACCGGAGAATTTTCCATTTTATAGTACTGGCCATTTGAAACGTATTTTATGTATGGCAGGCAATAAATTCCAAATTCAGAAGATTTTTATTTATTTATTGATTTGCGTTTTGTTTTTGCTACATTTGTATATTTTTGGTCAATATGGACACGATAAAAATACGAGTAAATATGGAATACGAGTTCCGTCGCGATAGTAACGCCGCAAAAACGGCTTAACCATTTTCATAGGTTTATAAGCTGACTTTTAAAGCCGTCAAATTGTAATTTTACGTATAACGAAATGCAAAGTGTGCGCTAATTGGTTGAGCGAATCGCGTTGCTTTTCCCCGGTCCCCCGCCGCCCTTGTAACGGCATGAATCAATTATTGATAGGCTGGTATTACATCGTAAATATTAAAAACAAAAAACGTTTTATTTCAGCAATAACTTTGTATGAGATGCATACCGCAATAGTGCAGTTAGCAACGAGAATGTTTCATAGCCGTGAGATTAATGGATCTGAATACTTGGTAATGTATTTTATGATTGTAAACAGAAAGCACCTAATGAATGTGTAAAATTGTGAAAATAAATGAAACGGTTAATCGAATTGTCTTTGAGCTCCAGTGACTTAGCACCAAAAGGGCCCTGAACTCGTCTAACCCTTGAGAGTAATAAAAAATGTATTTGTTGATTTTTAATTCTCAAAAATTCACGAAAAATCTAAACTTCATTGATGCTGATTATTTTGATAGGTTTTAGTACACGGGTAGGTACCACCACCACTCTGCCTATTTCTGCCTTGAAGCAGTCTCGGTAGCAGCAGTTTCGGTTTGCAGCCTGCCTATTTTTGCCGCGAAGAAGTAATGTCGGTTTGAAGGGCGCGGCAGCCGTTGTGCTAATAAAAGTGAGACTTTAGAACTCAAGTCTCAAGGTGGATGGCGGCATTTACGTTGTAGATGTCTATGGGCTCCGGTAACCACTTAAAATCAGGTGGGCCATGAGCTCGTCTAGCCACCTAAGCAATAAATAAAAAAGGTGATGTCATACCGCGATTCATAGTGCTTGGTAGTTAGTTGGTAGTGGGGGAAAGGTTAGAAGCTACTCATCCCAAGCAAATTCTAAAAGGGGAACACAAACAATAACCACCTACCACAAAGTTAAATGTCTTCAGCTTTGCACCACCACCCATCTTGAGATATAAGTTCTAAGGTCTCAGTATAGTTACAGCGGCTACCCTACCCTTCAAACCGAAACGCATTATTGCTTCACGGCAGAAATAGGTAGGGTGGTGGTACCTACCCGTGCGGACTCGCAAGGGGTCCTACCACGAGTTGGAAAAGTTCTTCACAAAGTTTTTTGACTGGTAACTCAGACGGCTTCTGTTGAACATAAATTTCGTTGATTTCAATACATTTAGTCTATGGAGCTCGTTGTTTAGATCAAAATTTGCGAAACGAAAAAGCCATAACCATAACGCATCGTATGCTAGTCTAGTGTTCGTTTGTGGCAATATTAAAATCATTTTCCGACTTTCTAACACCTATTTACCGTCATATTTTTAGACTAAAATTGTATGTAAAAGCTTACAATAAGAGAGAATGCTGTAACAATGCTGAAATAAGCATTATTTTTGTTTAAGAGTATGTACAATTACGTAACTAAAGGGTACTCTGTATTTTTCACAGGAGGAATTATTGAAGGCTGAATTGTATTTGAAAAAGTCATTGGAAATGTTAATTATTGAACCGGTAAAATCACCTGAAGGCAAACTATGCGTTAAAGCTTTAGAAGATTATAGGACATTAAAAGCTGCTAAGACAAAAGTTCTAGGCGCCTTATATGTCGAAGGAAAATCTTATGATACTATGTCTGAAAAAGATGTATCTGCACTAAATAGAACGTAACCAAGTGTGAATAAATCAATGAGAATCGTAAACTATTACTTATTTTTTTTGTCTATGTAAGGATTACCTATATTAATAGTAAATTTAAATTTCTGTTGTCCGCTTTAGGAGTACACGCTGGAACTGTTTTATTATGATGCATTGAAAAAAAAGTAGTTCGATTTTCTTGAGGTTTCTCGTTTGAAGTCGTCGTGGTCTAAAGAATAAGGTTGTCCGTGCACTCGAAGCGAATAACCTAGTGTTCAAACCGCGCAGGAAGATACTAATTTCTCTAATGAAATGCGTATTTGACTTGGGTTGGGTTGGATTTTTTTATTGGGGATTGAAAATAAAATCGCCAATAAAAAAATATATTTGCGAAATTGCTATACATTTGAGACCTCAAGTCTCAAAGCTGGGACGGAAGCATTTACGTTGTGGTGTCTCATGTCTGGTAACCGCTTCACATAAGGTGCCCTGTGACCCCGATTACTCGTCTGGCAATAATAAGAAAAAAGAAAATCGGTCACTGAGCTCTGTATGATTAACCATGTCAAAACATTGTCACTTGCTATGAAAAATGAACTATTTTATCGTAAGCGACCGTCATATTGGCTGATACAGCATCTAGGCAATGCACTACACGAAAAGATAGCCCTAAAATCATGGCCACTGTTTGTTAGTCTAGTAGCGGTATGTTGCGCGGTGATGAATTATCACAGCTTCTCATCAAATGGCACGAGTATTACTGTGGATGTGTACTCGTGCCATATGAGGAAGGAATTGTGTGAGGAACTCGCCACAATGATGGGGACACTCGCGAATTTCCGGTCATCTTGGTTAATCGCTCTTTCCGCTGCTCCTAAACGACAACACTCAACCTAAAACGGCACAACGGTCTCTAAGTTACAAGAGCTAAGGTTAGAAGTTTTGCGTTATAGGCTATACTCATTAGACTTCTACTTTTTCCAAAGCTCGGACGACTTGTTGGCAGGGAAAAAATTCAATATCCGACAGGCAGTACAAAATGCCAGATTTTATCAGTAGGGATTGAAAGATTACCACTGCGCTGGCAGAAATGCGACAATACCATGGTTGTATATTTTTTTTACATGTTGTTTATGATATACAACTGATTTGTAAGAAAAACATTTCTAAAAAACCATCTCCATTATTTACTACCACGGTTAAACTACACAATCCACCACCATACTTTTTTTATTGCTTAGATGGGTGGACTAGCTCACGGCCCACCTGGTGTTAAGTAGTTACTGGAGCCAATAGACATCTACAACGTAAATGCGCCACCCATCTTGAAGTATAAGTTCTAAGGTCTCAAGTATAGTTACAACGGCTGCCCCAGCCTTCAAACCGAAACGCATTACTGCTTCACCGCAGAAATAGGCAGGATGGTGGTTCCTACCCGTGCGGACGCACAAGAGGTCCTAACACCAGTAATTACGCAAATTATAATTTTACGGGTTTAATTTTTATTACACGATGATATTCCTTCACCGTGGAAGTCAATCGTGAACGTTTGTTGTGAAGTATTTCGTCTTTAGACTTTGCGTAATAGACGACAAAAATATTCGACGTAATTTTTCATGAAGCGGCCCAGCTCAATTGTATTCTTCTGCTGGCCTCTTTGTCGAATTTGTTTTTACCAAGCTGCAATGTTTGCCCCAGGTAAACACATTTTTAAATAATTTTGAGCGAGCTGCCTCACGGCAATCGCCTCCGGTTGGACATATTGGTTAAACATGATCTTGATTTTATTCAAATTCATTCGAATGCTAATGCGAATAGAAGAGTTGGCTAAGTTGTTCAGCAATTGTTACAACACGACGACGATGTCATGTGCAAATCTCAAGTGTGAAAAGTGTCTCGCCGTTTATGTTTATTCCTTTCCAGTCCAGCGTCTTAAAAGTGAATACATTTGTGAACAATTTAGGGGATATAACATCCTCTTGTCTCACTCCTTGATGTGTCCAGGCTGCCCGGTTTGGACGGTCATATTCGCAGCGCTTTAAATACATTTAATCACTTGGATATATCCCCAGTCTATTTGGCAACGTTGCTATGATCCTAGAACTGACCAGATTTCGATAGCCATACTCTTGGGTCTTCTGTATAATCTGCCTTAATGTGTTTGTGGTGCTGTATCCTCCTCGAATCCCGGCCTGCTCCAGTGGCTGAAATTCGTCGAGTCTCCGACGTCTCCGTGCGTGACGATTTGTGAACTCTTGGGAATTTTGAGCATTTTAGTCATTAATGTTTAATTTTGCAATGTTTAAAACTATTGCCATTGATGTAAACTTCTTACTTTCTCTTATTACAGCCATAGAGTAATTTTACCCACTTTTCACAGATTACCGTTTAAAGCATTTTTATTGATTTAATGAAATGTCAGTAAAATTTAATTGGTATTATTATTCATTTTCTCGTCTCTTTGTCTCAACCTGAAAATCAATAATTTTAACTAAATATGTCCATACAGTGACTCTATGAAATCGAACTTAATTAAATGTATGTCCATCAGAATTTAATGCTATTTAAAAAAGTGTGTACTTTTTCTGTTTTTATTTGTTTAAAATTGCGATCTTGAACGACTTTAATATTTCAATATTTCTTGGTTTTAATTTGGTTGTTATTTATTTAAAAAACGTCTTAAATTGTGTTTCTTTCTTAATCGTATTTTTGTCTCATATGTATATAGTTTAAAAGATATAGTAAAATAATTAGATCTGACTTTGATAGCATTACAACGACGGAAAGGCTAAAATAATAACTCAGTTGAACTTGCCACACTGTTTAAAATATAGAACTTTTACCATAAAAAAATTAAATTAACAACAATTATAAAATAAATGCAATAATTGAAATAATCCTTGATTATTACTGTTTAAAAACACAAAATCATTATTAAAACATTACAGATTAATAACTATGGCTGATCAATCTTCTATTTTGGCCATTGTGATTCTGGCTGTAGGAGTCACGGTTCATTTTTCCCTTCATAAAGTAGAAGAAGGACATGTTGGTGTTTATTATCGGGTATGTTGTTTATTGGCTATGGTACATTCTACTTGTTCAGGGCTTCACATGTTTGAAGGGTGGGATAGTGGGTATTTAAGATAATTGAAACTGCAACCTCTTACCTTAAGGTGGGAGGGGTTATTCCAATGGTGATGCCTGTAGGTCCTGATACCACTTAAGACAATGTGGGTTGTAAGCTTGTCCAAACATGTATATCATGGGATCATGTCTTGCCATAGCAGTTTTTAGTTTTATAGTGCAAAACACATTACAGGAACAGTATGTGCTTTTATGGTAAGGTTTTAGGAATAGTGGGGAGTAGCAAGAATCATGTCAGGAATAACCAGAAATGCAACCTGTATTCATCGGCTGCAATAGTTCTCAAAACCTGCTAACCATGCAATTGAGGATGAACATAAATAACTGACTCTAATATTTAATAATTTAAATATATGTACTAGATTAATTTATTTGTGTAAGTCCAAAATTAAATAATGCTTATAAGTCGATGAAGGCTATATAATTTAATTTGTTCAAAATGCTACGACAAATTTTGTAAATGAAAAATTAATCATTAAAGTAGTTATAAAATAATTCCATTGTACCCAGTGAAAAGGTTAATATTATCACAACCTTCCCAATTGAGTTCCAAATGTCTATTTAATTATATTATTCGTTATTTAGTCAGGTAAAAATAAATAGTAAACAGTAGTGCTAATTTTCTTTCAGGGTGGAGCTTTATTACCAGTTACAAGTCAAGCTGGTTTTCACATGATGATACCACTTCTAACATCATACAAAGCCATTCAGGTATGTTTTATAACAAATATTGACTACTGTGAAGCTTTCTCAAGTTCTTAATACTATTTCTCATTATTTTTCCATAGGCTGCCACTAATTGTCCTCTGATTTCTAATCCTAATGTACCTTGAGTTTAGTGGTATGTTTCCAATTACCACCCATAGTTAACAAGCCAATATGTTTAATTACTAACAGTCTATTTATTTCTGCTGTAAAGGAATTGTATGTTTATTTATTTTATATTCCCAAGGAATGACACTTGTTGATAGTCCATCTGATATTAAGCAGCTATCAGTGCCCATAGACATCATCATGTAAATGCTAGACTAAGACAGACTTATCACACTATACATCTAGCTTCTTTATATTAACTTGGATTCGAGTTCAAGAACAGTAAAAGGTATATTATTTTATTTTTGTTTTAGACAACTTTACAAACTGATGAAGTTAAAAATGTTCCTTGTGGCACAAGTGGTGGGGTGTTGATTTATTTTGAAAGGATTGAGGTAGTCAATAAGCTGGAGCCACAAAGCGGTGTGTGTTTTATTTTATGTTATTGTATAGTATAATTATATTAATTATTATGAACTTTTTCTGTTTATATGGAAGGAATGAAAAAGCAAAAGGGTTTACTATACATAATGAAAAAAAAAATATAAAGACTATAGCTTCTGTTTATAGTTCATTTTTATTGCGTAGATAGTGAAAGAGCTCACTTGGCACCTGGTGTTACCGGAGCCAATAGAGATTACAATCTGAATGCAGCCATCCAATGTGTGGTGCTATCTATAATCATCTATCATCAGGACTATTATTATAATCAATAATTAGACAAGATTTATATTGAATTTGAAAATTTGATGTATATTAAACAATTATGCCTTCATCTTCATTCTAGAAGTATTTGGGGAACATTTACAAACGTAAAATGAAGCAGGTACCAATATTTCTTTAAAAAGTTGTTACCAGTGTTGGGGGATTGTACGACAGCATAGTTTGATGAGCATCATTATCATTAGACCATAACTACTTTTACGTGTAATTTTTTTTTATTATATCTGTATATGATAAATTTGTATTTGATGTATTTTATTTATGCATTTCAGTACTAGATATGGTGCGCAACTTCACAGCTGAATATGACAGGACTCTTATTTTCAATAAAGTGCACCATGAACTGAATCAATTCTGTAGTGCCCATACCTTGCACGAGGTATACATTGATTTGTTTGATCAAATCGACGAGAATTTACGGACAGTGAGTTATTTCGGTTTCTCAATATATTCTCAAACTTTGTCTGCATATCTACATATACAAGACACAACACACAAATAAAGGCTGTTCATAAAACATAAATAAATAAAAGTATTCTTTTGGATGAATAATACAGTACAAATGTTTTAATTTTGCTTTCAGTATAATGCTTTTGATAGGAAACTTTTGAAATATTAAGTGTTAAATATATCTGTGTACATAACTTTTATTTATTTATATTTTATATTTTTATATATATATATAATTAATATTTTAAAAATAATCTGAAGTCTTGGCTCTTAAACTTAGACTATTTTGAAACAGAACAAGTCGTGTTGTAAAAATGTATAATGGTGTATATATAGTATGATATACTGTTGATTTGTTGTTTAAATAAATATTTTATATAATAGTATATAATATAATATATAATAATGTTTTTATACTTTATTATATGACACACATACACACACACAAACACACTAACACACATACACTCACACACACACACACACGTACGTACTATATTCTTACAGATCGTTCTTCCTGTTTAACTTTCTTTACCTGGTGACCTAGCACTAAACCACTGACTTTTGTAACACAGGTTTTCCTAGCATAAAAGTCAGGGAATATTGTTATTGTATACCTCATAAAAAAGCCATGTATATTATTATACTAGTGTTAAGTATTTTTGTACGTGTTTGTATTTTAAGAGGCTTGAATGAATAAATATTATTATTATTATTATTATTATTATAAGCATTATTTTTCCTCTTTTTTAGGCATTGCAAAAGGATCTTCATGAAATGGCTCCAGGTTTAAGGGTTCAAGCTGTTCGCGTCACAAAACCAAAAATCCCAGAATCAATCAGGAAAAATTACGAACTTATGGAAGCTGAGAAATCTAAACTACTTATTGCAGCCCAACATCAGAAAGTAATTGTGTTGATCTTGAATACTTTCTATTGTAGTAAGAATAGTGCCATTTAATGAATATATATTTAACCATAATTTAATTGCAGGTTGTTGAAAAAGAAGCAGAGACAGCAAGGCGCAAGGCTATAATTGAAGCAGAAAAAGAGGCCCATGTAGCAAAAATACAATATGAACAAAAAATCATGGAGAAGGAATCTCTACAGAAAATTGAACTCATTGAAGACAGTATTCACAAGGCCAAACAACAGACAAAGGCAGAAGCTGACTTTTACCACCTCAAAAAACAGGCTGAAGCCAATAAACTTCTTCTGACTCGGGAATATTTGGAGTTGAAGAAATATGAAGCGCTCTCCAACAATAATAAGATTTACTTTGGAAGTGATATACCCAACATGTTCTTACAAGCAAATGTTGGTGAAAGTGTTCCCATTTTAAAAGGTGTAAAAGTTGAGTGAACTTCGCCTTATTTGTCAAGATAAAAAATGTACTTGCATTTTGTATATCTTGCACACATACAAAAGCAGATCTTTGTATGGTATATTAATCTTAATTGCTGTTGTATAATAAATAATTGTAGTTTCAAGAAGCAGTCATATCATATATCACTGTTTCTTGTTTGAATTAAAGAATATTAAAAGATGTAAACAACATTTGTATCAAGTGTTGAGACATAAAATTGATATTCATTTTAAAATTTTGACTGATGTTTTCATAGTTGGATGTAAGTAATTACTTTTTATGTAATAAAATAACTGTCTGCTGTAAATGTGATTTAATTGAAAAAGTTGCACTTATAAATATATTACATGTTATGGCTGTTTAGATTTTGTTAAATGCAGCAATGTCAACAGATTGTACAAAATCTTCAAATTCTTGAATTTTTTCTGTCAGCAAATCAACAGAAACTTTGTCGTCCTCGATGACACACATAATTTGCAGTTTATTTATGCCATACCCAACAGGCACAAGTTTGGAGGCTCCCCAGAGAAGGCCTTCCATTTCAATAGTGCGTACTTGGTTTTCCATTTCCTTCATATCGGTTTCATCATCCCATGGCTTGACATCAAGGAGAATAGAGGACTTGGCAATGAGGGCTGGTTTCTTAGACTTCTTGTCAGCATATGCTTTCAAACGTTCTTCTCGAATTCGTTCAGCTTCTGCATCCTGCATATTAATAATGACATTTACAATTTATGATTATATGTCCGAATTTACAATTGGCCATTGGTTATTAAAGATTATTTATTGTAATTGAGTTAACTAAGTTTTCTAACAATTGACAAGATGAAATATCCCTCATTGAGTTAAAAACACTGTTAGTAGTAGTATTACAAACCTCTTCCTCGTCACCAGAACCAAATAGATCAACGTCGTCGTCATCGTCGTCTTTCGCTGCTGGGGCGGGAGCCGTGGGTTTAGCACCGGCGGTCAATGGGCTGGTGCCCTGAGACCAAGTTTTGCGTTCAGCCGGAGTGTATGAAGCAATTTGATTATACCATCGTAGTACGTGGGGAAGGTTAGCGGCCGGCGCCTTGCCAACTTGCTCAAATACTTGAACATCAGCTTGAGAAGGAGTGTATCTAAATAAAAAAAGATTGGCTAAGAGTTCTTATTGATAGTATTATAATAATATAAAATGTGAATTTTAATTTTAAACATATGATTAAAGTGATGAGGTTATAGATGAAGTTGACGTGGTGCGCTTTGTAAAATTGCAATAAATCACTTAAATGCTTTTACCCAGACACGTAGCTTTTCTCAGCTAAATATTGGTTCAAGTCATTGAGACCCTGGGCGGTTTTAACGTCTCCTACAGCCATAGTTTCTTTTAGTGTAGCAACTTTTTCCTAGATAACCACACGGCTGGGTGAGAAAATGAGTAAGAGAGAGAAAAATTATGATTGACAGCTGACAGTGACATTGATTTTTTTTAAGGGAATTTTTGACCTGGTAACTAAGATCTTTAAGGCGTCTTAATGTTAATTTATAATATTCTTTTTATGAAAAATGATAATATGGAGTGAAATAAAATGAAATAAAGATGATTAATTTGAGACATTAATCAACTGGGATGAAATTAAATGAAATGAGATGAGATGATATGGGATGAAATATGATCTCAGTAAGATGATGATCATTTACTGAGATTTTTTCAGTGGACTTTTTGGAGTATCCCGAGAACTTACATCCAGCAGTTTTGTTTCATTTTCCTGCATTTGTGCACTTTCACAGGTATTAAACACTTAATAAACCACCGTTATTATATATAAAACAATCATACAACTTCATTCCTCTCGCGTTCCCGCCAAAAATTCCACATTTATTTAAGTTATAAATATAATTATAGATTAAATAATAATATATTTAAAAAATTAAATATTATATCATTTCCTGGTATTTCAATTCCCGTTTACACCTGCATTTAGTTTAATCTATTCAGTTGCCTTATGATTAGGCGAGGCAACGTTTTAGAAATATTAAACAACCTTAGTTGCTGCTGTATAGATTTCAAACTCACTTCTCACACAGCCCACTGAGTTTCTCGTCGGATCTTCGTGCGTCGTCGTCTCGTGAGTTGCGATTCTGATCCGGTGGTACATTTTGCGAACCAATGCTCTTGTTAGTACTAGTATTAGGAAATTCTCTCAGATTAAATCCATGAGCTCACCTACCCATCCGCGATGGGTTGGAATAGTCTTTTAGGCTAGGAGCGAACTAATAACTAACAAACGTTATAAAAAAAGCAAATGAACATTGCTAACGGATTGATGACATCCATATCTATGCCAAAGGTCTAAAATCCAAGCCATTACATTAAAATGAGACTTGGACAGACTTGGATTTCTGTCCAGAGTCCACAGCATAGACCATATGTTTCCTACTTCAGTGGTCCACAGACGGACTCTCAAATAATTATGTGTATTACCCATAGACCCATATAGTAGGGACACGACATATTGTTCTATACGTACAATTGCTTATATAAATAGCACCTATTTTGAAGGCACATACATAAACATATATCTATCTCGTTCTTACTCAGCACTTTAACTCGCAGGAAAACAATATAACAGTATTTCAGTGCGTACATAAAATGAAACATGAATATACGTAAATGTCTCCGTCTCCGTCTAATGCACTGAAGTAGGAAACCTATGGAAATGAAACGTCAACAAAAAATTCGTGCCACTGTGACGTCATCTGGCCACAAAACATGGCGGTTTTAGTGCTGCCCAGAAGATTTTAATGTTAGTAGGTTTTATCGATAAACGTTCTTGGCTCATTTTATTTTAAATATTGTTGAGTGAATGTATTTGTAGAATTTATACTTTAATAGGAAGTAAGTATATTGTTATGTGCAAAGATGATGTGATTTATATATTATGTGAAATCTAAGACGAGTTCGTGCTTCAAA